AAAATGAACACGTTTCTTGGTAAAATGAATATGTTGATTTGTAAAATGAATATGTTTCTTGGTAAAATGAACATGTTCCTTTGTAAAATGAACACGTTTCTTGGTAAAATAAATATGTTGATTTGTAAAATGAATATGTTTCTTGGTAAAATGAACATGTTCCTTTATAAAATGAACATGTTTCTTGGTAAAATGAATATGCTGATATGTAAAATGAATATGTTACTTTGTAAAATAAATACGATTCTTAAGATTATGAATATGTTTAACACTAAATAATTGTCTTATCAGAGAACTAACAAAAAGAAAGAACTAACATGTTTATCAAACCGAACAAACAGAAAACTAACACTAATCTATCAAAGTTGTTCATTTATCACTCGATTTCCTTTTCAGCGAAATAATTAGTCAAATCCTCTTGGACAACATCTGATTTCTTGTTTATTGGAGACTCGATCAATTTCGCCAAGTAGTTCACCCGTAGAGTGTCCAACTTGTTCTTCATGTGGACCTTTTTCCTCTGAAATGTATAATATAATCAACATCATTTTGACTTGCAATATGCAACGAGTGTAAACATTAAAAATTTAGGATGAAAAATATTACCGAATCACTGCCTATCATAGGGAATGCGCAATCATGGCCATCTGCACGCACACAAACATATTTGGACATGTGATGCATTGCATATATTGCGCAGTCCGTTGTGTTTGTTGAATCTGCGCAGTGCATGTTCACCAATTTCAAGGTAAGCTTGTTGAATGCGCTCTTGAAGGGTTTCTTGTACATTCTTTTGTACTCTTGAATGACCTTTTTCTGTTTGTTGATGCCAGAATTAATAATTGTTTTTGTTAAAAAATAAAAAAAAAACCATATTGAATAAGTTGAAATACTCAAGTCTTACCAAGAAATCTTTAGTTTTGTCATACTTGTTATCCAGTGGCACATTTCCACTCAACACTGTATCCATGTTGTCAAGAATGCCTAGCCTTTTGTTTTCAAAGTCCAAACAGTATAGATAGAAATGAGTCTGAAAATAGACTGGGACAATCAGCTGAAAAATAGAATAGACCAATGTAAGTTG